AGCTGTACATCCTGATGTTGACTGTAGACAAGACAGCAGTACATCCTGATGTTGACTGAAGACAAGACAGCTGTACATCCTGATGTTGACTGAAGACAAGACTAGCTGTACATCCTGATGTTGACTGAAGACAAGACAGCAGTACATCCTGGTGTTGACTGAAGACAAGGGAGCTGTACATCCTGATGTTAACACTAGACAAGACAGCAGTACATCCTGATGTTGACTGTAGACAAGGGAGATGTACATCCTGATGTTGATTGAAGACAAGACAGCTGTACAGCCTGATGTTGACTGTAGACAAGACAGCTGTACATCCTGATGTTGACTGAAGACAAGACAGATGTACATCCTAATGTTGACATGGAATTAAGTTATCATAAACATGATGTAGATATTTATGACAAATTAATATATATTGTTTATTGCATAGAAAACAAATGTAGTCATTTATCCTGACTTGTTTGAATACTGCCATTGTATAAGTGATGGTGGTATGTAACAGTGACTTACCTAGTTGTGAGTGTCACTCATAGATTGGCGTGTCTATAATACTTTGATATGAGAGTCAACAGTGAGAATTGTGTTACCTGGTTGTGATATTTGCTGTTGATGGGAAAAACGCATTTGATTATTGTTAAACCTGCATGAGACCAAAGGTTAAAATTGTTATACTTGCATGTGATCTTCAAAGGTGGATGGTATTTTACCTGTATAGTATATATGATTACAGATGCTACACCTGTATGTGATCATTTCTAAAAGGTAATGCTATACCTTTATGTTATCACCAGTGAGAAATGTGTAATTTGTATGTGATCATCACAGGTAAGTTATGCTTAACCTGTATGTGAGCATCAGATGTGATTTATACTTTACCTGTATGTGATCATCATAGGTGAGTATTACTTTACCTTATGTAATCACCATAGGTGAGTATTGATTTACCTGTATGTGATCATCATAGGTGAGTATTACTTAACCTGTATGTGATCACCATAGGTGAGTATTGATTTACCTGCATGTGATCATCATAGGTGAGTATTGCTTTACCTGTATGTGATCATCATAGGTGAGTATTGATTTACCTGTATGTGATAACAGGTGATTAATAATTGACCTGTATGTAATCAAAGGTTGGAAATATTAAGCATGTTTGGGATCACAGGTGAGCAATATTCAGTAAGTATGTGTTCACATTATCAGTGACCCGTCAATCTGCGAGACATTTGTTTCTGAAAAGTTTTAAAAAAATACCTGATAGTCTTGTATTAAAGAATTTGTTATAAGTTGTATTTCTTTATTACACCTGTATTTATAACAGTTTTATTTACATTTGAGGAGGACTGAGTGCAATCAACTGTTAATAGTGGTTGCCTATCATTGAGGGAATGTATCCAAAGTTATTTATGGTGAAACAGTGACTGTTATGTTGTACAATATATGTGTTATGTACAGTAAATGATGCTGCAATGACTCCGACTCTCTTCTTGTTTATTTGTAAACAAATGATAATGATGCTGCAATGACCTATGTTGTCTATTTGTTGATTTGGTGTTTAAACCAATCAACTTGTAAACTTCTTCGTTCTGTGCCGTTTACATTGCAAATCATAACCAAAACCACTACATTAGAACGTACCAACCACAGCTACATTGTAGATTGATCACAGGTACATTGTAGATTGACCACAGCTACATTATAGATTGACCACAGCTACATTGTAGCTTGACCACAGCTACATCGTAGATTGACCACAGCTACATCGTAGATTGACCACAGCTACATCCTAGATTGACCACAGCTACATTGTAAATTGACCACAGCTACATCCTAGATTGACCACAGCTACATCGTAGATTGACCACAGCTACATTGTAGATAGACCACAGCTACATTGTAGATTGACCACAGCTACATTGTAGATTGACCACAGCTACATTGTAGATTGACCACAGCTACATTATAGATTGACCACAGCTACATTGTAGATTGACCACAGCTACATTATAGATTGACCACAGCTACAT